ATAAGATTGAGATCCTAGCGGCATGGCAAAAAGAATCTGAGACTTTTCTTAAAGAATTTGACAAGTTGTATCAAGAACGTAAGAAGGAAGTGGACAAAAAAATGGTATAACTAGTAGTTGACAATAGAAAAGAAAAATACGAATTAGATAAATGGACCTCTAGACTAATAGAATCAACCTCGCAAACTAGTTCAAGTACTTACAACTTTTGCGTAGGATTAGTAGAAAGTGATACAATAAAAGAAGCTACTAACCTAAACTGTTATGAAAAAAAGCTAGAAACAATGACAAAAAAATGGATTCTAAAAGTACAAAAGAAAATTTGCAACCAGATTTGAAAACAAGTCTGAAATTGAGATGTCAAAAGATTATAGAATGGAAACAAGAACAATGAATTGATAAAAGAGCAAAATATAAGAAGACCCAGGAAGCAAGAAGGCAAGATCCACAAGATAATTCTAGTCATAAAAGCACAAGGCAAAGAGAAGAAGTAAAAGAGAAGGAAAACAAAAACCTGGTAGAAATTATAAGAAATAGAATTAAATATGGAATGAAGTGGTTGGGGTTTTGATTCTTGTCAAAATATTGTACAGTGATCCGTAGTAGTGACCTGCGGGCAATGATGTTAGAAGTTGGAAGAATTTCTACCTGAACTACTAACAGAGTGATAAATCACTTCCAAAGTTGTACTTAGAGTCCTAGATAAATGTAAGACTTTGATGAATGAGTTAGTTAGAGATTTAGCTTTAGCGACACATATATAATATATAACTTACAATTATTTAATAAAGCATACATAACTAGCCTGACAAAGGGTTATATTAAAATATATATATATATACTGTATATCATAATCTGATATATAAAAGTCTTTAAATTAATATTTTTTATTATAATTTAATAAAAATTGTTAAATTTAAATAAAATTTAAATATTTTTATAATAATAATCATTATTATATATTAATATTTTATTAATAGACCTATGGGTCAATAACACAGTGGTAACACTCTTAGGTCACCAAGTACTGTTTTCAAGTTCAATACTAACGTGAAGCAGTATCACCTAAGCCTAGATAATACAGGAAGATTCTATCCAGCTTATGATGATAATCACTACCACTTAAGGCCAAGATCTTGTTTGATCATGGAATAACCAAAGATCACAAGATGCTTTAACCAGTTTTATAACTTCTTCAAATTCATTACAACCTTTCATGAGCATGGAATGGGAAGCTCTTTTTTACACACTAGCTATTTACCTCAAGTTTGAAAAACATGTCATAGAAAATTTTGATTATTTACTAAAAGAGATTGAAGATATATTGCAAAGTAGTACTGAAGTCATCTCGCTATACATGGTAGATTTCACAAGCTCCTGCAGATAGGTTGAAGATCTACTATCATAAAAAACTGGATACTAATGGAGCTCTGACATATTAGTTTGAGGAGGGTCTCTATTAACTAAGATTTGTTCAAGACTCCATATGATCTTCCCATAGGCAAGCTGTAATAGATCATGTAAAAAGTGTTTTCAATATAATGCGATGACATCAAAGACTTCACACGAATACTTTGTAGGCATACTGTAATAGGTATTGTAAAAAGAATATCAAGTGGGACGAGATACAAAAAAGGGGGTTCTGTACCTTGACTCAATAGCAAAAAGCTGAGAAGGGGTATAAATGTAGAAGTGAGTAGTTGGACATCTTTCAGTAACAAGTTGTGTAGGTGTTGATGGTGGTCATAATAGTCAATTGGTTGTAACAGTTATTTGTCACAAAAACGAGTTTATCACTTAATATATAAGACCATAATAATATACAGACATAAGTTGGATAAGAGTTCAGAGTATAGCACTATGAAATTTGTATTTATAGTCTATAGTGGTTTTATAATAATAAACAGACTTTGTTTAACCCATTAAAAAAAAATTTATTAATAAATTTCATATATAAAATTTATATATAAAAAATAATAAAAAATATAATTTTTATTATTATAAATTTTTATCAAAAAATAAGTATAAGATCAAGAAAAAAAATTTTTTTTTTTGAATTTATAAAGAAACAATAAAAATTTCTTATTAAACTCAAATTATTTTTTTAAAATTAAATTATTTTTTTATCATATAAAATTCATTTTAAAAATTTTAATTTTACTATAATATTTATATAAAATTTTAAAAATCCTTAATTATTCAATTTAATTTATAATTAATAAAAAAGTTCTTGTTTATAAAAAAATTAAAAAAATTTGTTTTTGTTTAATAAATTTATTCATTAAAATAATTTTAATAAAAAAATAATAATAAATCTCAAATAAAGAATTTATTATTCTTTCTAAAAATAGTAATGATTTTTTTCTTATTAAAATAGAATTAATTTTTCTAATATATATATATATATATATATATATACTATATTTTATATTTGTAATATATAATAAAAATTTGGATATTATAAAAAATTAATTTTTTATTTTCAAATTGAATATTTATAATATTTTCAAAAAAAATTTTAAGTAATTAATTTTTATATTTTAAAAAATATAATATATTATAAATTTTCATTTTATTTTGCTTATTGATTATCAAATTACGAATAAAAATTATAATTCAATATTTGTCCAAAGACTTTTGCATCATGCTGTATATATTTAATTTTTTAAAAAAAATCAATATTATCAAAAATAATCAATTGACATAAAATATACAGTATATATATTAGACAAGTTTTTATTAATCGTATTACTGTAATATATTTAACAAATTTTTAAATAATAATAAAATAATAAGTTATTTAAATCCAAATCTTTTTGGTTCTAATTATTAAGCCAAGCCAAGTTTTTGATAACAGTTTTTTTTATTTCAATTGAAGTAAAGTAATAAATTCTATGGATTATATTGAATATAAAAAGTTTGATAAATAGTATTTTGATCGATTACCATTTAATTTAACTATGTATTGATGATATCATTTATAAAAATATGATAAATAATCAAACCCTTTGATACTCTTTTTTAATGAACACAAAGTTTTTCGACGCCTGATACCATTTTATGGAATCTTTAATTCTTTAACCAAAACCATCAATAGTGTGATCATCATACTTTATAAAGAATACTGTATATAATTTATTTTAAATTAAATTCAAAAGTAGAATGCAACTATTATTTTTATTGCATTCTATAAAATAAAATTAATCGACAATAATTATAAAAATAAATAGGATTTCGCAACTATCTTTATGCGAGCCGCAGAATTTTCCTGATAAAATCGCAAAAAAATCTATAAAGCCAACGTGTTAATTAATTATCAAAGGAAAAAGCGTCGAATTTATTCCAGACCTGATTTTTTCAGCATTAAGTGAATAGGAAACGGGAACAAGAGGGCATCATTAAGAGAACCGATAAAAATTATGATATTGAAGATGAATTAGAAGAATATTTATTTTTCAAATGAAAAACATGTCACACTTTTATCAAATGACATTGGTTATGAAGATCAAGGTTCTATGGAATATCAAGGGACTTTACTTCGGACGATTATATTCTTTTTATGGATTATTTACCAAAGGGATCTTTGCGTGAAAATCTTCACCTCGTGACACAAATGGAGTGCAAATAGAAGATAAATTTATTATTTTATATTTCCTTCGATCTCAGATAATTCACTAATAATGTGCTACTTCCGATCTGGCTCTTTCATAAGCAAAATAAAGTGGCAACTGAATCCGATGGAGCATATGGAATTTTACTGTATGTTGCTTTATTTGGCAACCCGAACTTTAAAGCGTGCAGATATATTGGTCCTATTAGGTTGTCATATGTTTCTTAAACCAGAGGTAAATGGGGAAAAAAAAAAAAAAGAAAGAAAGGAGAAGATACAATCCATGATAAATAAGAGAATCAAAACTAAAACCAGAAATAAATTAGTAAATAAAATAAAAAGAAAGAGGTTGGTAAAAATAAAGGTGCAATATCTTTCTGAGAAAATAAGAATTAACAAAAAGTTTTTTATTATGAAAAGAAATTTTATACAATGTAATCTAAAATACATGGTTACTGTATCTATGATAAACTTTATTATAATTTAAATCCAAACAAAATAAAATTAAAACATTGTATTTTTAAATGAATTCAAAAATGCAAATGGCTGGCATTTTTTATCCCTAAAAAATCCAATAAGAATATTTATGATTTTTTTTTAATAACTTGAAAGGTTTTCGGATTAGTATAATTGTCGTATGGTTTTAATGTGGGTACCGTGCTGTTCAAATAAAAATTTTCGCTGGTTTTTGCACGCATGCTTGTCATTACGTACGTATAACACACAATGACGTCGCCGCAACACATGCCGACAAAATGATTTATTGAATTTGATATTATTAATTCGGTCCACAGTGCGTCTAGTATGATCGAACTGTAGATAATATTTCACTTGGTGTCTAAAAAATTTTCGTTCAAAAGATATATGCATCCTTTTTTCGCATCACCTTAAAAACCTCGTACTCCTCGACCTCGGCAATAGCCGGCCCATTGTTCTTAAGGATCGGTTTGCTGTAGTGAAGTTGACTGCAACTACATTTGCACTTTTTCGTAAATTCATAATAATCCAAGTATAGATCGATCCTGAAGCAAGGCCCATAAACCTCATTGTTTCCAATTGGGTTTGAAGCTATCGGTCGGGATACAATTGACATCGAAGGATCGTTATAGTTCAGGTTAAATATGAAACTCTTATTCGTCTGTCCATAAGTATTATCACTCTTCCAGTCCAAAGGGTTGTAGCCGCCCAAGAGCTCATTGGTGTTCTTGATCCTAACGATGATCAAGGTGGAACCCTCGTAATCACATTTCGAATGAAATTTCTTGGGGGTGAATCCATCCTTGGTACCCCTTAGTAATAAATCAAATTTATAAGGTGAAGTTTCAGTGGTATAAGTGGTATTATTATCGATCCAATTTGCGAAATGTACCACATGTCTTAGTCCAATCAATAGGGAGTCAACTCCACGATGCTTCATGTTTGAAGACCTAGGCCTAGAGTTCGCCAAAAAATGATATTCTAAAATTCGGTCGTATAGATTTCGATCCATGATCTTTCGAAATGGTTCGACTTTCAATATGAAGTCGTCTGGACTGATGTGTTCAAATTTTATCAAGGATATGCAGGGTTTCAGTATATTCTCTAATTCTTCAAAATCAGATGAGGTCCAATCCGTGATGGCCGAAGGTAATGTTGGAATTTGAGCCATACCCCATCGTATTATGATATCCCAAACTTCCCCTTCTTCGATCGGAAGATCCTCGTGTTTGAGCAATGATATCAGTGCATCCTGTCCAAGAAAATCAAAATCCTCAGCTTGGAATATGGTATAGGGGAGGTAAGTGATGGCATTGGCGCAAAATTTTTGTAGCCTCTTAAATGATTCATGCTGCGATGCTATTTTGTGAATTAATCCGAAATTTTGGAGTAAAGAGTTTTCCATGGTGAGAATTAGGTATTCTTGTATGCAATCAAACAATTCTGAAAGACCCAATTCATCCGCCGCGACCAAAATGTTTACCACAAATCTTAAATCTTCAGAGTTAAGTTTGAATATTCCACTATACATGTATCTAGGCAATGGCGTGCGAATCGATCGATGAGGGAAGGGGGGAGACCGACGAGTGAAGTTTCGTCAAAAGAGGAGACATCATCAGGGCCTTTCCGTGTCGATTTACGAAAACCGTAATAATTAATAAATTAAACATGACCACTCACTTTATGATCACCTCAAATTCTTTTGGATGAATGTTGGGCTTCTCAAACACTATCACATTTTCGACTCTCTTAGCCCAGTTATCTGATAAAGCGATTCTGAAATAGGATGACCTCGCCCTTAGAACCATCGAGTGCGCCCGGAACTCTTTGATATGATTGAATTCGCCGCCGACCCGGATGACAACGTCCGAGAAATTTCCATTCTCCAATAATGATTCGTAATCACGAGAGAGATCTTTTAAAAATGAGATGATCATGGTTTGCCTTCGAGAATTTATTTGTGTGCGTACGTATTGTAGCGTCAATCCTCTAAAGAAACGGTTTAAGTTTTTAATCCTTTCATCGAGATGACGATAAGAAAAGCATGCGTAAGTATGCATGCAGATAAATATGTCTATTGAGAACCAAAAAAAAATTATCGGAAATTGCCATACTTGGAAGGGCCAATCGCGTACACGTTTGCAATTTCATTATGCCCACCAATCCCAGATGTGATCTTCCATTCAGTCAATTGTTTTTCTCGGATCGAGATTTAACCTTACGCCTTTTGGTGATTACGTGTGACAATTCGGTTTGAGAGGACCATAAGATTGGTTTGTCAAAATCGCAAAAAATTCACGAATCACATATATCAATCCAAAGAAAATGTAATACAGTGCTAAAAAAGGGGTTTTTCGGTTAGCGCCTCCGATGAACGAAAAAATTTTCAAGGGTAGCAACGTAAGTAGCATCCATTCGTGATTATACACTGCCGAAGCATGCCGTCTTTTCGACTTTGGATAGGCCACTTTAGAATACCCAGCATGCCCGAATTTTTATGGGGAGCATCCTGATCGGCGGACTTAACGCGCGTGCAAAAAAAAGAAATGAAAACAATTGCCCGTAAAGTTAAAGGATCGTATCACAAAAGATCCATTTCGAATCTACTGTATCTCGGATAAAAATCTCGTCTAAGACCGATTTGAAAAAATTTGTTGGTTTAATGCGACCGGATAGACGAAAGATTATACTGCATGAAATCTTGACCATACTCAGTATCACATATTGGTTATATACAGTATAAAAATAAGCAGTAAGGTACAGTACTTATACGTATTTTATTTTATTTTTTTATTTTTCATTTTAAAATATTGAAAATAACATTTAATGTATATTTTAATTTCTCATGACTAAAAATATATAATATATTGTTTACGTTTTATTTTTCAATTTAAAAAAATTCATTTCGAGTATGCAATCGTTTAAAAAGTCATAGAAACAGACAAACAAAAAATTAAACAAAAATAAAATAAAATAGTGTCCTATGCATAACATAACCATAATACCCATATTTGTTTTTGTTTTGTTAATTGAAAAATTCAAACGCGTCTTGTCTCGAGTATTTGTTAATAGTTTCGAAAAAATTACGTCAAGGGTGAGGTTTCCTTTGCTTTGATCTTAGTCAGCTTTGTTTCACATACATGTAATTCTACTATATGACGTTAAATATTCTCTCATAATCCGGGTATGTACGTCATCTTGAAACGCAATTGACTCATGTTTCCCCTGGAAAATTTCACTGGAATGACGGTGTTGACGTTTGTATTTCGCATGAAGGATCCAAAATGATCTCATCATTTGTAATGAATGATGATTAGATAACGGAACGTAAGCTTTGTTTTAGAGCACGAAATCGTATAAATACTCCCAAATATCGCCTTTCTTTCTCCCGTTTTTTCAAAACTAAATTTCATCTCGCAAAAAAAGAGGAGAATCAAATTACTGTATCTATCCCGTTAACGACAGCAAATCAATTCTACGAGCAACCCAATTTTTCTAAAATGTCGTTCCACGCAAATGCTCAAGACGTTCCCGAGACTCAAGCGCATCCGGTTAAGTCCGATACTCAGGAGCAGAGATCTGAAAAATCCTATAAGGCCGCCGCTCATAATCCCACCGTTTCTCATGAGGCCAGGTAAATCTACTCTGACTGTCAGTCGCGTAAAATTATGTAATATGTGCTCAGTATTTTTTTTGTTCTCGTAATCTTTTAGGGTTCACGCAGCTGAGAAATTGGCCGAGCTTCACGAAAAGAGAACGGGTGACAAGATCGACCCAAGTTATGAGGCTGGGTAAATGCATTGCCTTTTCATTCCTTGGTGGATGCCGTTCGTTTCTTGATCGCGTCTCTAACCTGAATTTACTTTATTCGCCACATAGCATCGGGGATAAAAAAGCAGAACAATTCCAATAGACTTGATCCATTTCTTTAGTTACATTGGTTAGCTTTATTTGGGTGTGATATTTTTTTATGAGTTGTTCTATGTAAAATTTGAGTGTGAGGAAATAAAATATTTTTTAGCATCATTTCATAGCGTCATGCATGGTTTAACGAGTGCAAAGAAATCGTGTCATGCATGATGTGCAGATCTTGCATGTGAAAATGTTATTGCTTAATACTGTAGTTAAATAAGCGTAATTTTATATAAGTCGGTTGGTCAATATAGCAAGAAAAATTGTAAGCACTGTGTTAATTCGCGCCCGTCACGTCCGCGGTGGTTTCAGACTCGTAACTTTACCATAGACTCTTTGATTTATTCAGAAAGATTCACGTTCGAGATAATGAGGTCTATGATACGGTATATAGTTTAACGGAAAGTCGAAGTGAATTAACACCATACGCAATTTCTTTTGCACATTAAAAATTAAAACGAAAAGCTAAGAAACGAAACAGAAAGAAAAGCAATGTGGTCATACATAAAGGCGTATGAAGAAATGTCCATCTTCGACTTACTTATTCAAAAATTACATGACGATATTGAAGTTGGAGAAGATCCGGAATCCAAGTTGTTTCAAGCTCATTCTATTAGTTTTATCATCGGTGGACATATTTCAGGAATGCTTTGACTTCGACATTGAATCGCGGCATTGAAGAAAGGTATATGTGTGACGGCAAAGCTAATATGAATGGTTGGAGAAAAATTATGCAGAGCGTGACGACAAGGGAACATATGACAATGAAGGTAACGAGGAGAAATATTTCACAACTGACGTAAGGAACAAATGTTTTATAAAATTCCAGATATTTCTGCCAAAATGTTAGAAAACAAACAATCGCCTAATTAAATTGTGGCTTTTGCTGACACACGTCACGTTTTTCAAAATAAACAAACAGTTACATTTGCACCGGCATGATGTGCATTGAGGAAGAGAGGTCCTTCTGATTTTATTCTTGGCACCCCGATCGCTGCGGATCGTCTTGAACTTACCGAGTTGGGTCAGCCAGTTCAAAAATATGATCGAACATCGCGGCGAATGGTTACACGAAAAATTTCATATGATGAGCTTTCAACACGAATCCTTCAAAGGACTCCAGAGATATTGTGTCAACGTGATGATCAATGATCTCGTGATTACAAAGGTTCTTGATTTCAAGCAAATGCATGCTCAACGTGATTACTTGAAATCGATGTTTGGAAATTTGCGATAAAGTGGGAAATTCTACTCTCGAACCGAATCACAAGAATTGGTCGACGGATCATTTCATAATCATGAAAGGAATTCTTAAACCATTATTTGCCGCTTGTTAGGTTCAGGGAGGGAGATCATGTCTAGGCAATTCTTTGAGAACTTGAGGCCATTCAAGAAAATCCTTCAACCTGGAATGTACAAAGAAAGAACTAATGAGATACTTTAAGGTGCTAGGGAACGATTCTCTTTCAATTATCGTTTGGCCGCCAAGACGCGGGTTAATTGACTCCGTCGTAATTACTCCGAAACACGCTGCCTTGGTATGTTCGCTATCATTATAATAACATAACATTAATTATAGTCATTCAAACCAACTCTTCTTCGTTACATATGATATCTCAAGTTGGATAGACCAGAGGGCTTATGCTTTATCCTCTCTCGGATTTAATCATTATAATGTGGAAACAAGCCCATATTAATTTAAACTAATTTTACGGATTAGTCGTGATGGTTACGCCCTCGAAACGTTTCACACGCTTGTGTGTTTTCAAGGGAAAAAAAAATTTTTCGATGGTTCAGCGCATTCCAAAGGCACCAACCCCTTCCCCCATGACCTCAGATTATGGTTATAAAGGTCCACGAGACAGGCGTAATTCTCGGTGGTTACAATCCACTTAAATGGGAATCGAGAAGTAGGCGGGTGAAATCTCAGGATTGCTTTCTATTTTCGTTCGCCAATCGAATCACCATTGAAATTTGATAGCACCTACGGTCCGTCGTTTGGAGTTTTCGACCTACTGGTGTGGGGAAGGAATTTTAGCGGAGGCCTAAGACACAATATCTCGTGTGAAGTATTCCAGATTGTTGAAAAGAATCATTCGGATTCTCCGGCATAGATGAAGAATTCCATGATTACATGTTATCAAAATTTCATGAGATCTTTATAAAGTCGAACACACCATCAAGTATAAAGCAAGTGGCAGTATTGACTAAATGCATTTATAAGGGAAGTCGCATAAATGGCTTTATAAAAAAAAAAAAAAACTCACATTTATAATTAATATGTGTTTCGATGGATCGACCACCTTTGATTGATACTGTACATATTTCTAATTTAAGCCGATACTGTAGACTTTAAATTTCGCAACAACAAAGACAAAACAGTAAGATAATTTGACTTTGTATTTAAGGATCCAAACACAATGAGCATACTTAGCCAGTCGAGTTACGAAAATTTCCAGGAGACTAATTTTCTGCATTAGCCATATATTAATTAGGATCATCGCGAAAATCAACCACGTAATAATGTGTTCGACTTCCAAGGTGTTTGCAATCACTGTCCCTAATGTTTACTTGTATGATATTTCATATAGTAGACTTTGACTTCAGGTAGGCACGTGATGGCAATCTAGTAATATAAGGTATTGGCTTCGTTCCACATCATATGTTTTCTCTGATTCTCTTATATACTGTAGATACGGTGGTTGAATGACCTTGTTCAAATAATCTTTTCGAAATCCATTTGCATACGCATTGAAAATAAAAATAAGAAGAGGAGGATATAAGAATGACTCTCGATACTTTTCAGATTTCGTACCAGAAACAGTACGAATTCTACAATAAAGGTGTCTTATTCGATGTTAAGATAATTATTGGTCGTGATTATCTAAACTCAAAAGTTTTTCCGGCTCACAAATTTATTCTTTGCTCTCAATCACCGTACTTCGAGCAAAAATTAACTGAGGCTGAAGATGTCAATTCTATCGCGATACACGATGTCTCCAGTGAAGTTTTCAAGGTGTTGATCGAGTAAGTGTGCTCCCACCATTCTTGACATGTTATCATAATATTGCGTCTAACAATTCGGCGCGATACTATCCAGTTACATGTATTGTGCGTCAATCAAATTGAACGACAAAATGGCTTCAGAAATTTTTGAAATTTTGCTTGGCGCTGAAAAACTTAAAATTGAGATGGTCATCGATGGCTTGCAATGTTACCTTGTTGAACACTGCGAAGAATACTTGAGTCGAAATTTCTCATTGATTTACCGCGCCAGTTTTGAACGCGGAAGCCTTCGGTGCCTTCAAGAATACTGTACTCGGGTCATCAGTGATAGTCCCGAGGTGATCTTCTCTGCATCTGATTTCACCTCAATTCCCATGGATCTATTGACCGAGATAGTTGGTCGAGATGACCTCCAAATGGATGAAGTAGACGTTTGGAATAGCGTGCTCAAGTGGGGACTTGCTCAATCTCCGATATTGACAAATAATCCTGAGTCATGGAGCTTGGATGAAATTAAATTCTTGAACACTGCGCTTCAAGACCTTTTCGAGTTGATTAGATTCGTCCAACTTTCTTCGAGGCAATTTAAAACCAAAGTCATACCTTACAAGAATATCCTTCCATCGAATATTTATGAGGAACTGATGGGCTATTTCATACCACCTAGAGTTAGGCCGACTTCCATTATCATTCTAGCACCGAGGCGTGGATTAATTGACTCGAAAATTATCACCACCAAACATGCGATTTTCATTACCAGTTGGATTGATCAGAAGGATAAAAAAGAAATTTTCTTTCAACCTTACGATGATAACCCTTATGTCTTTGAATTATTATTTCGTGGAAGCCGTGATGGTTTCTCTCCATCTGTCTTCCACGAAATTTGCGATAACAAGGCGCATACAGTTTGGTATTTATTATTCCTCGAATCTATATTAAAGGTGATTAATATGTCTCACGTTTTCTTTTACGCGATTAAAAGTGTGATGAGGGTTACTGGTACAAATGAGATTTTAGGCGGATACAATCCAGTCGTATGGCAACGTTTGAATTGTAAATGGGGAGAATCAACCAACAGTTTCATCTTCTCTTTCCCGAGCAACGATTTCGTCGATACAATCCTTAGTCGAGTATCAATTCGCAAGAAAGCAATTAATTTGGAATCGAGCTATGGTCCATCATGGGGGTATGACTTGATGATGGTGGGTCCAAATTTGAAGAAGAGATGTTCTTGTAACCAGGACCATTTAAGAATGATGTATGAGAAGCCGATTCGGGAAAAAAAAGGCGAATTTGAGATTGATGATTATGAAGTTTTCCTGATTGAAAGGAAAGATGGCAAACCTTTATCACAATGAATCGGCTCGGAAGGTCCGTTGGAAATAGCTTATGTATCTTTTTGATCTGATGTATCGCATTTCGTATTCGGCACTTTCCCTTTGGAAAACGAAAAATGCAATTCCAGTGAAAACTTTAGATCTTATTGTATCGTTACTGTTCATATAGTATGTTAGATCAACCCTTTATAAATATGTAATTTGTAATTATTGTTCTTTTCCTTTCCCTACATCGCATTATAGTATATTAATAAAGTCTTTGGACAAATCTTTGTATCATAAAATTAATCTAGGTAGCTTTTTTTTTTAACAATATATAAAAATATACTGTATATATATGATAAAATAAAAAAGCTACCTAGATTAACTTTATGATACAAAAATTTGTTCAAAGACTTTATTAATATACTGTATGATCACAAATTTCTTTGAGATAAAATGTTTATATGCAATTGAATTAACTTATTGTCTGTCGGATATTTGTTTGCTTGTTATGGTTATTTCAAAGGTAAAAAATGCTCTGGACAACATATAGTTTGGAAATATTATATAGTTTATTCATTCATCTTTACAAGTCATCATTCTTTCCAGTTAAAATAAATAAATAATAAAAAACCCCTCGTTTACTTACAATTAAATAAATAAATAAATACTGAGTAATTGAAAATTTTTTATATTACTATTGATTTATTGTAAGCAAAATTGACTTCTCACTATTAATCTGTGAATTATTTGCTATGTAGAATTTTCTGAATATTCTCTATGTCTTGCTTATATCTAGCCATCCAGGTTGTGTCATCTATATATGCAATGACTGCTTGTCTAATAGATAGTTTCTTCTTTATTTCTGGTGTCTAGAAATCAGGTATCCACTCTTCTTCTATAATATATCTATAATTCTGTTTACTTAGAATTTTGCAGAGCAATAGATCATAGAAAATTTATCAAAGTAGAGAAAATATTGTTTCCTCTTGATAAATACCATCCCCTGCTATAAATGGGTCAGAAAGCTTAGTAAGGAGAATAGTAAGAAATGCTTTGTTCTTAAAAAGATTGATAAGCAGTTGTCTTGTCACTAGTGGAATCTGAATTCTTAACATTACCTTTTTTAACATTTCAAGATTAATTGTGTTATAGATTTTGCTATATCCTGAAAGATAGTTCTTTTCTTTTTTCTTTAGCCTTTTTATATATACTGTTCAGAAGTTAGATAGATTCAGTAGTACTCTCTTCCTATAGACTGGCAAAGATTGATTCTTGCACGATATTATACTTTGCAAAGATAGTCATCAAGCATCTATTTGTTATTTTGATAAAGCAAAGTCTTACTTTTTTCAGTAATACAATAGGTTTGATATTTCCAAACTTATAGTGTCATGGTTTGGGATTGAATATTAGATATATATAACTGTTTTTCTATTTCTTATATATTTGATTATTTTGAAAAATTATATTAAAAAGTTGTAGTAATATAGCTTTTCCTTTTATGTCTCAAATTTTTTAGTATCTTATAACTAATTTATAAATAATCAAATGAATTTTTGGTGAAAAGACTTCTTAGTGTTTTGTCAAGTTCTTCTATTATAATTTTTTCTTTTAAAGTAAGATACTATTTTGATTTGATTTATTATTTGAGTTAATATTCCTCTTTTCAATTAGGATCTAGGTCTTTGAAATTGGATTTTCTTTTTTGAAAACTTTAATAATAGGTCTTAACTTGTTGGTTAATAGTTTATAGATTTGTAGCTATATATGTTAAATCTTTGTGGTTTTGTACTAAAAGTCTGTCAAGTATTATATTGGATCATTTCTATTAATAATACAATTCAGCATTTATTTTTAGTTACTTCTAAGATCCTTATATCTGATTTCAAAGGTATACTTAATTTGATTCTTGATATAAAGACTTTCTTTTTTTTTGTAAATTGTACACAAGGTCAGCTCTACTTTGAGAATTTGTTTTAGCTATATATTGACGTCAACTGTATTTTGAGAAAATAATAAGTCTTGGGTAAATATATTATTACTTAAGGTGTAAAACCTATTAATTATTATTAAAATTTCTTGTTAATAAAAAATTTTCATATTGTTTGAGCTTTTTTGAATAGATAATAAATCCTATTAGTTTCTTTATATATATTGAATACATGTTTAAAGATAGTGCTCTTGATTTTAGATTTTATTTTAAAGTTAATATATATTTTTTTATTTTTAGAGTCTTGAAGACTCCTCTAATAATAGTAAATTTTAATAGGTGTCAGGTCTCATTTTATATTTGTAATATATTGAAATTACTTGAAGGCTTTATATATACTTATAATGATGGGTCCCTAAAGTATTTAGCATATAAAATTTTGCAGATTATTTAAGTCTTTTTTTGAGGAACAAAATTTATAGCTCTTTACTTTAATAGGGACAAAGGTTAAAAAATATTATAAATCAATAATTTAAATAATAGAAAACAATTGTGGATAGTTTTTTTATAGTTATTAATTTAAAAATTTTAATGTTTACTAGTTAGTGACATTTGACTTTTGTTCCTGCCTTCCCCTTTAGAGATCCATCTTTATATACTTAATCTTTATGATTAAAAAAAACAATATCTGTTTCAAAAACAAATTCTTTTCACTGATCCTCTAACCATACACAAAAAAGATGTTTGTAAAAAGTTTTGATACTTCTATGCTAACAAAGTCTTATTACTTTCTTTAAACCAACTTAAAGAGTTCCTTTTAGAACTTCCTTATATTTCCTTTATCTTATTTACAATCTCTTTTGGACAAACTGGACTCTTGTAACCTGCAAAATTTAGTCATCACCTTTACTATCAATAGCAAGAAAGTTCCTAAAGGGAAAAGGATCAATAGTGTAATATTTGTTATCTCTCAGCTATAGTGAAGAAACAACTGAGATTCTATTCCAGTCAAAGAACTCACTTTTTACCCTTTGACTGGCATTGTAATCTCTAAAAGCTACCTTTTTCACAGTTTTCTAAGGAATTTTATCTACTCTAGCTTGACCCTAAAATTTCAAGTAGCAAGAATCTCACTGATTCTGATTAGCTAATACAAAACACATTGAAAAAGATTGATAAACAAGTTTCTATTGATCACCTCATGTATCTGAATATATTTTCTCAGCTCTATAAGAACCTGGAGTCCACTATAAGTCATATATTATTGGTGCGAATGAATACAGAACATGTTACTGACACATCATTAAATACAAGGAAGAGTCCATCTGACCACAATAAAGGTTACAAGATACTTAATTGATCCTTTTTCAAGTTGGAGCCACCTACATTCTAATTATATGTCAGGTAGGTTTCAACTTCTATTTCTTAAAAAAATCTAAATCAGAAAAAGTATATAGCTATCAGAAATACTCAATGGTAAAGCTCGTGCATAAAGCAACTTAGAAAGTTTTCATCCTATCTTGAAAAAATTCTAAGTTGCAAGACTTAAAGGCTAATATCACTATATCAATCAAAACTTGAGTCTGAAAATATCAGTAGTGATATACGAGCCAACTAGATAATCTGGAAGATCCTCATTGATCACTAATATCAATAGCCACCAGTAGAGCATATCTACTGCAAAGCTAGGTGCTATCCTTTTTATAAAAAACTAAATCTGAAATAAGATATATAGATAGATAAGTATACCCATATTTAGATAGAAATAGATTTAATTGATGATATATTGGAAGAATATCAAGTCGCTCATATGGATATCAATATATCATCTGGGTCTTCCTGATCACTCTTACCCTACAAGCCTTAAAGCTATAAAGTCTCCTTTTTGATCTCCAACTTATCTCCATAAAGACTCAATAAAAGTTCTATTTTTCAGACTATCCTATAGGGGAATTAGTACAAGACAGGCATATGCAAAAAAATAAGATCAACACCTCACCAAAACTGCATATAATTGTTCAATTTTCCTTTTTTATTTTTATTTTCAACACCAACATATTCTAGGGAGGCAGGTTTTTCTTTGGTAAAAGAAAAGGCAATAAGCCTTAAAGTAGCTTTAGGAATAGTTTTGGCTTATCATTATCTTTATAGTCACTGAATATATACTCATATACTTTCACTTTGCATAATGTACACATGTAATTTGAAAAACAATAAAGTTAAAAATAAGTCCATCAATAAAAAAAAAAAAAGTATCTGTTTAGGTTCTAAACTTTTTTTACTAAATATTTATAGAATTAGCAATATCTGGAATTTTAATATCTTTAGTTCTATATAATTTTTGATTTTTTTTTCTAAGCAAATTGTCAATTATTAAACAAACCATTAGAAGTATATAATCATTACTGGTTAAAGTTTTCATTAGTATATTATGAAAATTCTGTAAATTTTTAAGACTCAGTTTAACTATGGTTCAAATATAGTCAATTTTACTATAAACTGACTTGTTTAACCATATAAAAGTATTGTTGCCTTCTTTTTTCCAAAGTTTTTGAATATCTGTGAAATTCTAGTTCTCTAAAAAGTTAATTAACCCAATTTCAACTCTCTTATATCTAATATATATTTTGTTATTAGTAGAGGACTAATCTGTTATAGGGTTAATTATAATATTAAAGTCTCCTATAATAATTATTTCAAAGTTTTTTCTCTATTTTTTATGAAATTTTTTCTATAAGATTTGTTATAGATATCTACTTTTTTTCTTATTAGAAGGTAAGTAAACTTGAAAGATTATAAGTTTACTCTTTATTAATAGAAAGCTAGTTTCTATTATATGACACCTTATCTTATTTATATATGCTAACTTTTTTTTGTATTCTTTTTTGATTAAAAGATCTACTCTAGAGTCTTTAGATTTGCTATTATTACTATTATGAAAGAATTTGTATATTGCTAGAAATTTAAAGGTAAATGCATTAAATCCAAATGCAAGTTTTGTTTCACAAATTTTAAGAATATCAATATCTATTTCTTAAATTTTTTTTCAAAACCTTTGTTAATCAAGAATTGTATTAATACCTCTTATATTATGTGTTCTTATAGT